CGCCCTCGGTGCCTTTTATAATCATTCCTATTATAGATCTCTATTCTTGTATCTTATCTTTCTTAATCTAGATCTTCTTTTCCTAGTAGGCTTTATTATAGTTGTCCTATACTTCCTAGGTATAGGTTTGTGTCTACTGCCTCCTAGCCTTCCTTGCTACTTTAACCTTCCTTATATACTTACTAGTCTAGTATAGTTGCTAGTATAGTAAATGTTTCTTTGCTAGGGTATGCTTTCTAGCTACCTGTTTTAGGATTCCTGTTAGTTCTTCTACTGCCTTATTAATATCCTCTAGCCTTAGTAGGTGCTTTGTTAAGAGTTCCTCTAGTTTTAGGTCCCTTTCTAGTTCCTCCCTAATCCTGCCCTATTTAGTACCTTTCTAGTTAAGCTTCTCCTCTAGTTCCCTTTCCTAATTAGCTTAGACATTTAGCTTAATCTATACCGGGAAGTGGTCTAATAATTCTTCTAGTTCCTAGTTGACCCTATATCTTATAATCCTATTCCTAATCTAATATAATACAAAGTATAGGTCTAGTATACTACTGCTTCCTCTTGCCTCTTAAGTAATTAGTCCCTTTAGGGTAACAATTTCTATTCCTTCCCTCTCTAATATATCAATTAGTCTTCCTACTAGGAAGTAGTAAGCTAGGGTAAAGTCTAAGCCCTAGAGGGGGTAGTAGAGGTTGAAATCCCTAAGTAGGATTTGGTAGGTATTCCCCTAGATAACTCTAGGTAGTCTTTCTAGGGTTTTCAGTTAGGTACTACTTCTTAAGTCTAGTAGTAGGTTGTATATATAGTAGACTTGGAGTATACCTTAGGATGTCTCTACTTAAACTAATATTAGGTCCCTATCCTCCTATAGTATAGCCTGCTAGGTTTCTGTATCTATCTCCTTGCTAATATAGATATATATCCTTAGGGCTCCCTAGTTGTAGATAATTAGGTAGTATCTTAGGTCTTTAACTATTGCTAGTCTCTTTATATATAGGTTGAGCTAGGGCTCTTAGATTGCAATAATATAATGTTCTTTTAGGTTCAGTACTTAAAGGAAGCTCCTCTGTACCTTGTCTTTGCTCTTATTAATATTATACTATATAATGTTTAGTAATGTTGCAATATTTATTAGGTTTTATCTATATTATTTCCCTATAAGTTTTCCTTTAGTCTTCCCTTACTTTAGACTAACATTTGACTAAGCTTTATCTGCCCTACTTCCTTTCCTATAATGTTAAGGTATCTTAGTCTCCCTAGTTGCTAGTAACTCTCTTGTGCTAGTAAGGCCCTAAATATAAACCTATTATCTTACCTAGACCTCTTTTATAGCACTTAGCTAGGTTGCTTCTATACCTAGCTGCCTTAGCTTATTGTATATCTTTTTAGTGTATTAATTCTAGCTTCCTTTGCCTTCCTAGCTGCCTGTATTCTTACCGGGCATTCCTTCGCCTAAGAGGGGTATCTTTTAGTATAGTATACATATCTTGCTTCTCCCTTGTATACTTTGTATTCCTTAACCTAGTAATCCCCTATATAATAGGAGCAAGTATTAGTTGTCTTTATGCACTTAGCTACTAAGTGTCTATAGTGTTAACATTTAAAGCACTGTATTATCCTATAGTTGCTTCTATATATCTCTGTTTCTAATCTTTCAAAGTTCTAGAACAACCCCTAGTCTAGCACTATATTAGCTTGCTCTATACTCCCTACCTAGATAATTAGGGAAGACTACTTCTTAGTCTCTTCGATTTTCCTTTTAATCTATGCTACTTTTGTAATCTTTAGGCCTAGGTATATAGCTTGGTTTTGTCTCTATAGGCTCTTAACATCCCGTTCTTCCTTAAAGCTTCTTATTATACTATAGGCTATAATTATAAACTGCTATTAGGAGACCTTTGCTATTTTCCCTATCTTAGTTGTCTATTCTTTTTGTATTTCTAGCTTCTTTTTGTCCTACTCTTATACTATAAACAGCTTGATTACCCCTTTACCTTCGTTCCTAGCCCTAATTACCTCTTTAACTACAATTCTTTCTATAATCTCTTTCCCTATAAGTCCTTGGATTTCCTTTTGCTCCTATAGGTCCGTAATGTAGACTCTAACTACTGTCCTCGGGGGTTTTGGCGCCTCCTAACTAGCTACTGCTACCTAGATGCGGTAGTTTAGGCTTATCTCCTATTGTTTCTTCGTAATCTTTACTGCGACTATATTAGCTACCTTTGTAATTACGTAGCTTGCCTAGTTGTAGATTGCTTTCAGTCCTCTAAGGAGTTCTAAGATTATTATCCTATATGCCCTCTTAGGGGTTCTTCTATCTTCCGCCTTTAGCACCTCCTCTGCCCTAGTATATAGTGCTTTCTATTCGTCCTCCCTTCCTTCTTAACTGTCTTCCCTTCGTCTCTAATTGTTCGCTGCCATTTTTCCTAGTCTATATATACTTAGTTTCTTTATATACTTATATCGTTTTTTTTAATAAAATCGATAAAATCTTATATTATATATTATTAATTAGTTTGTTTAATTTATTATTTATTTACTTAGCAATAAACTATTAGTATAATGCTATTATTTTTTTACCTTATAAAACGATATATAACGTTTATTACAAAGTGTTATAAAAATAATAAAATTTTTTTTATAAACTTTAATATATATATAACCTATCTTTAATGTAGATATAATCTATCTTTAATATAGAAATAATATTACTATAAAGACTTGATTATAAAAGCGATACCTAATTATAATCTAGAAAAGGCTATAATAAATGCAAGAGGAAAAAAGGCTAAAAATATAAATATAAATCCTAAAGTAATTATATTATACGTGAAACCGCTAAGTATATTAAGTAATATGTAACCTGAAAGTATGTTTGCTACTAATCTTAGACCTAGTAATACATTTATTGCAAGATATAATATAAATTTAATTAATACTAGTAATAGTAATAAAACTAATAGACAGCCTCGTACTACGAATAAAGATAAAAATTTCAAACTATGTTTACTAAATGCTATTACAATTGCACCTAATACTACTATAAAGCTTAGATAAAAGGTTAATATAAGATAACTAGTACTAGCTAAACTATAAGTAAAAATTTCTTCCGTATTATATAATAGACTAAGGTAATATAAAATAAAAAAGATTGATGTTTTTAATTACTATAATTGCTATTATATAACTCCTTAAAAGCTTAGCTATATATATTAGTAGTTTTAGTAATCTTTCCGCCGTTTAGGTTATAGTCTTGTTTTGCTAGTTTATTGTATTCTTGGATTTTATTATTTAATATACGGTCTATAATAAGTATTTCTTTATAAACTTTAGATAGCTGTTGCTTATTTATTGTATTAGGTACCTCAACGTTTAAGTTGTTATTTTCAACAAAAAAATTTATATTTTTCTCTCTTATTATTTTTATAAGTCTTAGGTGTATATACATCTAGGTTTTACAATTACTTAAAAGGTTATTGTCTAGCTTACAAATCAATTTATATAAATTCTCGTTATAAATCTCTTCTAGATTTTTAGATATACTACTATTACTACTACCGCTACTAGTACTACTAGCACTAACCCCTATATAGCCTTGTTCTTTAATATAGCTATTATCTATAAACAATATAAAACACGATTTATAGCCCGTTATAGGTAAATAATATAAATCTCCTAAGTTAAATACTAAAAATAATTTAAGTAGAAATCTTAGTAAACCTAAAATACTTAAAATTATAATTTAAAGGTTAAAGTTGTCGCTTAATATAGGATAGAGATAGTATATGTAGTCCCTTAAAAGACATAATAATAACTAATAGAACTCAAATTGTTATACCTCCTAATAAACCTATTGTTATTCTTTTATATACAAATTTGAAAAAATTAAACATTATAATAACAAAGGAAAATATCTGTAAGTATAACTATATAGTTAATTCTAATTTAGATTAGAATTTACTTTTAATATACGTGTTGCAAATAAACTTATAAACCTAGGTAATATATACTTAGAAAAAAGCTATATTAATACTACAAAAATAAGTAATAAAAAAATTACTTAATTTATAAAAAGAAGAAACTAATTGAGGCATTATAACATTATAATTATTATCCTACTTATGTAATATAGAAGGCCTTGTAATATAACCAATATTAATAATATAAGTATTTGCTATATTTAAAATTATAAAGTTAGATATATATTATACTAAATATAAATTTATTATTATAAAAAAAATTACTTTATCTAAAAAATCAATTCAGTTAAATGTTAAATAGCTAAATTAATGTTATTTTTCCTTACAATAAATTTATTTTTTATTGTCCTTTAATTATGTTACAAATTTTTCTAATAATAAAGATTTTATTACTATTAGCATAGAACTAATAGGAAAAAAAAAATTATTTTTTTTTAGTTAAAGAGGGAACTACTTATATATCTGAAAAACTACGCTTTTATATAGTACTAAAAGTTTTAATAGTAAAATCATTATTACGTAGCTTTTCTTTAAGTACCTTAAGCATGTTTTACTTACTAGTTAAATTTGTATATGTTTCCTTTAATATTTTTCGTACATCTAATTCTATTACGGGGTATTCTCCTATAGGTATTTGACTTTTAAAATAAAGAACTCTTTTATATTAATAAGTAGTATCTACTACTTAGCATTTAAAATAATTTATTTTACCTTCTACTTTAGCTATGTCTTTAATTAATTTAGCTTGTTCTTCTAAAAATTAGTCTATATAGTATAGAATAGGAGAAAAATAAGTAATATAAACATATAATATTATAAAAATAATAATTATAAACAGAACAAATTTGAAAACTTTTTAGTATATACTCTTTAGTCTAATTATATATAAATAGTGCCCTCTAATTACTTTAGGTTATTAAGGTGTAAATCTATTAAAGTATTTTCTAATATACTAAGTAAAGGAACTATAATTAAGAAGTGTGAAAAATATAGAACAGTACTTATTTAACCGAATTCTATATATAGGGGTTCGATATGTTTAGCTCCTAGTTATATTAAAACTAGAAAATTTGCTACGAAAACAAAAAATGCTATTTTACTTAAAGGCCTGAATTGTAATCCCCTACTTCTACCTAAATCTATAAATAGCATAATTATTATTATTAAGATTGTAGAAAACATTGTAATAATACCTAATAATTTGTTAGGTATAGATCTTAATATAGTGTAGAAAGGTAGAAGATATTACTTAGGCATAATAGCTAGGGGTATTTATATAGGGTTAGCTATTATATAGTTTTTACTATTACCTAAAACATTAGGCATAGAAATACGAATATAGATAATACTACTATAAATAAAAAGATAGTTATTAAATCCTTAAAGATAAAGTATAGAGTAAAAGGAAGTCTATTATAGTTTCCTAATACTCGAGCGCCCTAGAACCGATACCTAGAATATCGTATAGAATAAGCGATAGTAAAAGCGGCCTCCTTAGCGCCTACTCCGTTTTATCTAAGACGTTAAGACCCGGTTTGATTCGACTTTCTATATAGTTACGAGGGGAGATACTTTACGTACCGCTCTCGAGATCTATTAGAGTTCCGAAGGTATTAAGTAGCTCGGGCTTACTGCCGCCGAATAGCGCTAAGTAGAGTATCTCCTCGATATTAGTAAGCATTACGCGAAGGTTACTACTACGATTAGAAGAATCCGAGTATTACGGATCTAATTAGTTAGAGTCCTTATATAATCTTAGAGCGACGCTAAGACTAGCGGACTAAGCTATCGCTCTATCTTACTAGGAGCGATAGGAGCGGTCGAGAGCGATAGCGTCGCTTACGTCGCTTACGACTATAGACAAGATATCTCCTTTGTATTTAGAAACGCCGGAATACCCTTATAGCTCGAGGCGTTTAACTTATATTACCTACTTACTAATTAGAATTACCTTTATACTAATTATTCTGTCTCTACCTCCCGCTTATATTAGCCTCTCTAAAGAAGCCTCGGCTTATACGTAATAAGAAGTTACCTAACGATCTATCGCGAGTAACCGTAACACTTTAAACGCCCTTAGGATAAGTGCCTTATTACAAGTCAGAAAGGGAACTCCCGCCCCTAGCGAGATAGGTAGTCCTCGACGTACTACCTCTAGTATTAGTAGTATACTAGGAACCTATACCGGAAACGATTCCCTTAAGATCGGAAAGCTAGACTTTTATTATAGCGACCGAGACAAGTTCGATACCTAGGTTAGCTAGATAGATATGTATTTTATATTTAACTAGGTTTAAGACAACTTAAAGCTAGTCTTCGTAATAACGTTTATACGAGGTAGGGCTTAGTATTAGGTTAAACTATTTCTTAGGACCTATCTAGATAGCAACGGGACCGACTACTTAAATAGAATCTTCGCAAGCTACGAATATCTTAAGCGTATAATAAAGAAGGTCTTCGGATCTTCTAACGAGGTTGCTACCGTAGTTAGGGTTATCTAACACTTAACTTAGAAGGGGTTATATACCGATTACGCCGCTAAATTCTAGGAATACGCCTAACTTACGGATTAGGACGACGAAGCTCTTATAATAATATATCGGCGAGGTCTTAAGGACAACGTTAAGGACGAGCTTATACGCGATAGTAGAAAAATAGATAATATAGGAACATTAGTTAAGGTTACAATCGATCTCGACGATAGGCTCTACGAACGAGCTTTAGAACGGCGCTACGATTCTAAGACTTCTAGAAAAGCTAGTTATACTCCTAGATACGATAATAGATAAAACTATAGTACCTACGATAAACTAAAGAGGAACAACTACTATAGCGCGCAACTAATAGAGCTAGACGCTACCTAGAAGGGTCGAGTATTTAAAGGAAGAAAGGGCAAGAGTTCGCCTAAGAAAGTAGGAAGATTAACTTACTATATATATAGTAAGGAAGGCTATATAGTATAGAACTACCGCGGTAAGAATATAGTACAATGCGAACAGTTTAATATAATATAACGAAAGGACTCGGGCAGAGGAGGCTACTAAATAATAGTAGGGCTATACTCTACTAATAGTACGCCGAGGACCTACGTAGAGGTCGTAAAGAAAGAGCTACGACAAATCTATATAATAGTACGACGATAAGAACCCGTATATAGAACCCTTTACTAGAGATTCTATTACGACGACTAATACTAAATTTATTATTCTACTAAAATAGAAGTAGGATTCTTCCCTTAGAATAGGCGACTCGTACGAGAAGATACGAAATCCTAGTTAGAAGAAGAAACGATTAATAAATCTTGCTTAGATACTAACGATAAAGAAAACCGAGATCCGGAAGCTTTATTCCCTCCCGGGGAGGAGTTAGGAGCTATCCTAGAAGTACCGGAGTCCCCTTAGTAAAAGGAGGAATAGTAAGAAGATTTAGAAGGAAGTCTAGATACTAAGGAAGAAACTACGATTAAAGAAAGTAAAGACGAATTCGGGATTAACGACGATACGATCCTTATATTTATAATAGATGCACTTATAGTAGCGCGAACAATCGCCTTATATCTAGTACGTAAATACGAGGAAATGTTTCTAAGGGTTAACGGATAACGGAAGGTCGATCCTATCTAATTTAATTATTTCTAGATAAGCTTACGGGCAAAATTCTAGAATTACCCCTAGATACTTATAGACTATACGTACTATAACTTTATTATAGAGCGAGTACCGATAGGAAGTATAATTACGCCCTACGGATACGTCCTACCCGACGAGAGGACGATTATTACTTAAGATATACGTTAGACGGTCTAGCGACTAAATTAGCAATACCGAAAGGCTATAGTAGCGTAAGGACGAGATATATATAACGATACCCTCGAAGAAAAATTATATACCGAAGAAGCACGAACGGTAGGACTACGGATCCGTAGCTAGTTAGAATAACGTTAGGCTACTAACTAGTCGGGGAACGGACTAACTCTCTAGATTAGAGCGTTCTAAGAGAGTTCCTTAATACCGAAAGCGCTTAAGTATTAATAGTAGTCTTCCGTATAAAAGTTATCGTTAGCGGGTACCCGACGAGTATATTAATAGATTCCGGAGCGAGCGGGAACTTTGCCTCCGAATTATTCGTTAAGAGCCGAAGGATCGTAACCCGAAGTAGAAGAGAAGGAGCGTATAAACTTATAGTAGTAGATAGGTTACCGCTACCTAGTATAGAACGAGAGACGATACCGTTACTACTAGCTATCTAATAGCACTACGAGGAAATTGTCTTAGATATTACTAATATAGCTAGTTATAATATTGTACTAGGTATACCTTAGTTAAGAAAGTATAACCTAGTCGTAAATTAGAGAAGAGGAGTACTTACATTTAAGGAATACGACTATATAATCGGCATTTAACCTATATAGCGGCAGCGTTCGTAGACAGATAAGATTAATAAACGTAGGGCGACTCGTAAGACGTTTACGTCGATAGGAATTACGGAGAACCGTATTTAACCCGGATCGACACTACCGTTAGGTTAGGAGGGTTATAATAATAATTACGGGAAGGATAGAAGTTATACGCTATCGAAGAATAAAACTAGAATCTCGGACCTAGACATTCCTAAAGAGTATAGTAAGTAGAAGCGACTCTTTAAAGAGAAGAGAGGCAAAGCAGCCTTACCTAAACACTAACTATAGGATTATAAGATATACTTATAGCCTAGGAAAGAGCCTCTATAGGGACCCTTATACGCAATGTCTAAGAAAGAGCTTAAAACCCTAGATAAGTAGCTAAAAGAGAAATTAGAAAAAGGCTAGATACGGAAGTCGATATCCTCGGTAGCCTTACTAGTAATATTCGTTCCGAAAGCCGGATTAGACAAAGGACGGCTAGTAGTCGATTTTAGACGACTTAACGATATTACGATTAAGAATCGGTACCTATTACCGAATATCGAAGAAATACAAGACCGATTAACTAGATTAGACTAGTATACGAAGATTAACCTATACGATACGTTTTACGCAATACGTATAGTAGCTAGATACGAATAGATAATAGCATTCCGAACGAGATATAGGCTTTACGAATTCTTAGTTATACCTATAGGACTTACGAATACCCTAGCGTTATATTAAGACCTTATAAACGAAGTCCTCCGAGACCTCCTAGATATATATATTATCGTATATATAGACGATATCGTAGTCTATACTAAGGGAGCTCTCGCGGACTATATACGAATAGTATAGGACGTCTTTAAACGATTTACTTAAGTAGGATTTAAGACTATACCTAAGAAATGCGAATTCTATAAGAAGGAAGTTAAGTTCCTAGGATTTATTATTAGTACTATAGGAGTTAGAATCGATCCGGAAAAAACTAAGTTAATATAGGAATAGCTAACGCTAATATACGTTAAGGACGTACAATTATTCCTAGGATTAGCTAACTATAATAGGAAATTTATCGAGGGCTATTCTAAGATAGCGGCACCCCTTACGGAGCTTATAAAGAAAGATAAGAAATAGGACTAGAGTACGAAGGAAGATAAAGCGTTTAGGCAACTAAAGGAGCAATACGCTTCTATACTAACGCTACGATTATTCGATAGGAATAAGGCGGTCTAGATAGAGACAGACGCTTTAGATAGAGCTATAGGAGCATGTCTTATATAAGAGTATAACGGGAAACGATACCCGGTAGCCTATTACTCGAGAAAGATATTACCCGCGGAATAGAACTACGATATCTATAATAAGGAGCTACTTATAATAGTTATATTACTATAATACTAGCGAGTATACGCGGAGGGAGTACTAAGTCTTACGATTCTTTCTAATTATAAGAATCTAACTTACTTTACTACGACTAAAGTACTAACCCGAAGGTAGGCCCGCTAGTCGGAGCTACTAGGATAGTATAAGTTCGAAATCCGCTATACCCTAGGACGCGAGAACGGACGAGCCGACGTACTAAGCCGCCGTAGCGACTATATAGAGGGTTACGAACTAGTGCAGTAGCAGATTTTAAAAGCAAACTAAGACGGAAGCCTTAGTGCTAATATAAAAGAGTTTAACTATACTATACGAGTTCTTTATAATATAGAAGAATAGTTTCTAATCGAATATAGGAAATACTAAGTACCTAAGGAACGAGTTAAGGAGTATATACGACAACACTACGACGGACTAGAAAATAGATACCCTAGAGTTTCGAAAATAATAGAACTAGTTAAGCGAAGCTTCGGATTCC